TCAGGACTGAGACTCTGCTTCATTGAGCTGGAGCTTAACTTGTAGACTGTGAAAGTTCTTGGGGAAGTTTTGAGTGTGTGAGGGAAGGGGTTCAGAATAAGTCTCCCCAAATATGCTACTTTGACATGTGGACTATTTTCAGCTGAAGGCACTCAAGACCCAGCATACTCAAGAAAAATTTTTACCTCTCCTTAAACTACCTAAAAGAATTTAGATAGAAGGCTTGGCCCAGAAAGAGAGCTTTTACCAAGAGATAACTTTTTTTTCTGTGTGGCAGATAACTAATTACCAAATATCTGCTCTTCTTACTGTTCTGTGACTCACCGTCCTCCTCTTTGAAGCCCTAGACCCCTATCCTATTCCTTAGCTCAAGATGGCATATGAGCCTCAATTGCCAGGCTCACCGTTAAGTATCATAGTCTTACGGGGCCCCCATATGTATATAATCAACTTTGTTTTTCTCTTGCTAATGTTTTAAGTTAATTTGATTATTAGAAACAGCTGAAGAATCTGAAAGGGTTGAAAGAGAACTTTTTCCTTCCTGACAATCTCAGGAGGTACCATTCTTTTAATATAAATAATCAGTTTCAGTGACAGAACTTCAGAAACCAGGACCATTAGATTGTGGGGTATTTCTGGAAGAGGTTTCATGTATTTGTACATTACGCTATGTAAAGAGAAAGGCTGGTTGGCTGTTTAATTTTCTGTCACTACAATTTCCTCTACCTCCCATAGCTTACTGTCTTTACTGGTAAAAATTTTCACTATGTATATAAGGACTTTTTTTTATCTATGTATTTTAATCCTTTCAGACAGCTCCGTCTCATAGAACTTTGATGATATGTGTGCTCTGTGATACATTAGCCACTAGCCACATGCGGCTATTGAGCATTTGAAATGAGGCTAGTGCAACTGAGGAACTGAATTCTTACTTTCTGTGAAAGAAAAAATTATTCATGACACCTGTTGAAAATGATGAGTTAGGAAGACTTTGTTCACAGTGAGTGGGGTCTACTGTAATAGGGTTAGGGACCACTGCAATGGGTTTTGCAGTGGTGGAGAGATTGAGCTCAACTTCTTTTTTTTTCCTTCCAAATTTTTATTTAAATTCTAGTTAATATATAATGTAATCTTGGTTTCAGGAGAATTTAGTGATTCATCACTTACATATAGCACCCAGGGCTCATCATAACAAGTGCCCTCCTTAATGCCCATCACCCATTTAGCCTATCCCCCAGCCACCTCTCTACATCAACCCTGTTTGTTCTCTATTGTTGAGTCTCTTATCATTTGCCTCCCCTTCTCCTCTCTTTTTCCCTTCCCACAACGTCATCTGTTTTGTTTCCTAAATTCCACATATAAGTGAAATCATATGGTTATTTGTCTTTCTCTGATTTATTTCATTTAGCATAACATACTCTAGCTCCATCCATGTTGCTGCAAATGGCAAGATTTTATTCTTTTTGATGTCTGAGTAATATTCCTGTGTGTGTGTATGTGTGTGTGTATACACACACATATATGTATATATATATATACACACACCACATCTTTATCCATTCATCAGTTGATGGACACTTGGATTGAGCTCAACTTTGAATACAGACATGGCAAGTGGGAATTTATAGTCAAGGCGCAAGGTGAGGGGGTCAGTAGATAGAAAATTACTAAGAGGTATTATAAAACAAAATTCAATTGAGTAAATTTTAAAGATAATATTGGCTTTATTCAATGATTCATGAATAGGCATCATCAAATCTAGCAGACAAAAATGATCTGAGGAGCTGTGCAATTTGAAAGACGTACAGGCAAGAAGGGGGCAGGAACAAGTTGCTTATACGAGGCAAAAAAGGAGATTGGTTATCGCTTTACTTTCCTTCAGAGGGATGGCAGGGGTCTATCAACAGATTGCCTAACTAGTGCTGATCAGGTGACTCCTAATTGACTCATTTAAGATCCCATTTCTGGGAGAGCTGAAACAGTAATTAAGTGTAGGTTTGGTAACGGGGCTTAGCAAGCAACTCCATTTTAGGAGTTTTGTCTTGTTTTTAACACAGAAAACATCAGGGGCATTCTGACTAAACTGACCTAATAAGATTCTTGCTGCAGGCAGGCCAGGGTGATCAGATATCACCCGGGGGATAGTGGAAGATGAGGAACCTGATTAAATATTGAGGGTGATCAGATATTGAGAATGGGGGATTCTGGATAAAATGACTTAGTAAGATTCTTGCTAAAATTAGACAATGCAGAGAAACAGGGAAGTCCAAAAGTCAATGCTTAGTTGAAAAAGTGCTCAGAAGAACCTGAGTAGAATTTGTTCAAGGAGTGACTCTTTGTCATTTCATTTAATTTTAATTAAAATTTAAACATCCAGGCACTGGGTGGCTCAGTCAGTAAGCCTCCAACTCTTGATTTCGGCTCAGGTCATGATCTCGGGGTCTTGGGATCAAGCCCCAAGTTGGGCTCTGTGCTCAGCAGGGAGTCTGCTGGAGATTTTGTCCCTCTCCCTCTGCCCCCCCCTCAAAAATAATAAATAGGGGCGACTGGGTGGCTCAGTCGGTTAAGCCTCTGCCTTCAGCTCAGGTCATGATCCCAGAGTCCTGGGATAAGCCCACATTGGGCTCCCTGCTTAGCAGGGAGTCTGTTTCTCCCTCAGCGGCTCCCCCTGCTCATGCCATCTCCTTCTCAAATGAATAAATAAGATCTTTGATAAAAAATAAATCTTTAAAAAGAAAAATAAAATTTAAATGTCAATACTGGGTAGCACTGCTAAAATTTTTCTAACCCTTCACATTTCTTAGGAAGATGATGTGACAAAATACTGTAAGCATATGGTTTACCAACAATGAATTATCTTAATCTGAAGAGATATGATTTCCACAACCAGCATGTTTGTGCTGTAAAATATTATTTGTTCTTTTTATAGGTAACATTGATTTCTAAGTTGTGTGACATTTACTTAACAACATGTATTCTCCATAACTCCGAAGAGGTTGCCTCTCCTTTTGCTATAGTGGCTTATTTGGCACAAAACCCCTAAGGCATACAAGAGCTGGCATCAGGGCTGGTTTGTACTCTCCGAGGGAGCTGAGAAATTTGTTTCAAAATTGGACACAGGTCTCTAAACTGACCTAGATGACGTTTAAAACGAAAATACTGCATTAAAAAAAATTAAGACTAAAGAGAGAGAAAAAGAGAAATGGGGCAGCAAGAAGTAAGGTCTTCCCAAGGGAATTTCTTGGTCCGCTCCATTCCTGGGAAACTCGCGGTACTGTATCTCCTCCCCGGGGCCAGCGGCCACCTAGCGCCCAACCTCCCCCAGACAGCAGCCTCTGGGCGGTCCCCTTGGCCCCGCCCTCTCCCCCACCTGTGCGCCCTCTGGACACGCCTCCTCCAAGCGCCCCGCCCCGCCGCAGTCCGACTCCCTGCGGCGCGAGTCGGCGCGCTGACGTCCGACGCTTCAGGTACTTTCCCCGCGGCCGGCCGGGCCCGGCGTGGGGGCGGGGCAGGGAGCGGAGCGCGCATGCGCCGCAGCGCCAGCGCTCTCCCCGGATCGTGCGGGGCCTGAACCTCTCCGCCGGCGCAGGCTTCCCTCGCGCCAGCTCGCTCCCGCCGCCATGTCTGCCACCGTCGAGCGGGAGTTTGAGGAGTTGGATGCTCAGAATCGCTGGCAACAGCTGTACTTGGTGAGTCTCAGGGTCGCGCAGCAGCCACAGTCCTCACCGAGGACCCGGGCTCGCGCCCGCCGGCTCCCTCCCGCCTCCCCCGCCTTCTGCTCGGGGCGGAAGTGGCGGCGCGCGGGCCGCGTCAGGGGCGCGCCTGCGCCGACCGAGTCTGGTTCTTTCTGAAAAAAGACCTTGGGCGGGTGGGGGTGGGGGGGTGCTCCTCGTGAGCGCAAGCGCAGAGTTAGTTCTGGCAGGCGGCTCCACAGCGGCGCCTGGTGGCGGGCGAGACGTACTCCGCCGCCCGGGGGGGGGGGACCGAGGAGATCCGCGGGCTGTCCGAGAGGTTTCGGGGGCGCCGAGAGAAGGGCGGTGAGGCCTCGCGGGGGCGCGGGCGGGCGGCGGGGATCCGGCTGCAGCCTGGCGGGAGTTCTCGCGCCCAGGTGGCCGACTGACCGCGGATACCTTTTTCGCTAGCCAGGTGTTCTGTGGCTGGCTGAGCGGAGGCCGGCCGCGGCACCCGCTTACGACGGCGCAGCCCGCTCTGGCCTTGGTGTTACGGGTGGCTCCGGGGCCTCTCGAAATGGCAGTGCCTAAACCGTGGTGACGGCGGAAGCTCCCGGCGAATCAGTAATCTTAGGGTTTTCAGAGAGCCCAGTGTCTCAGCGCGTGGGTCGTCCTCCACAAACAGCTTCCAGGAACGAGAATATCTGGCTTTGGTTGTGTTAGTTAAAAGAAAGAATAAGGATGTTCTCTTTTAAATCTTCTTTACTGAGGAATACTTGACATACAGTAAAATATACAGATTTTATGTATGGAGTTAAGCTAGTTTTCTAAATGTAAACACCTGTGTAAGCACCGACCAGGTCAAAATAACGAACCTTTCCATTACCCCGAAGGTGCCGTCATGCCCCTTCTTCCATCCCATAGACCACCGCTGTTTTGATTTGTTACTGCCATACAATAGTCTTGCCTTTTATCGAACTCATATGAATGGAATCGTGTAGTTGGATTATTTTGTGACTGGTTTCTTCACATCGACTAGAGAACTGTTTCAATTCATACAGAAATTTATTTCTTTGAAAATGATTTAGTTGCCTGTACTCTACTGCTTAATCATTAGCATATTATTCCCAAGATTAAATTGAGTGGTGAGTTAAATGTTGCTTCTGTTGTTCGGTTCACTATACAGAAAAAGAAAAAAAAAGTTTTCCTGTAAATCTGGATGATTCTGGGTTTCTCCCCGTTTAAATTCATTTAATTAAAAGACAGTAAAAATTGTTTCTTTGTCACTATGATCAGAATGTAACATTTTTTTCTTGAACACATTAGCAGGGATTCACAGGAGTAGAGTATGTTAGAATAGAGTACCAGCGTATTGGTACTCTGTTCTAACCAATAGAGTACCAATTGGTACTGGCTTTACTAATTGTAGAAAATTTCAAATGCAAATTCTAGTAGGGATCTTTATGTGAGAGCCTGCCAGCTAGCTGTGTCTTCTACAGGTACATTTGTTTAAACAGAAGCTACTGTCTCCAAGTTGATAGTGATATATCAAAATACAGATTTGAGAAGAGAAAGGTGAATGCTACAACTTAATTCAGCTTAACATTTTGGTTAAGCAGTTTGATTTGTGTGGGGTGGGGATAGCATTAGTATCTTTGAAAATTTAATGAACACTGTAATCCCTCTCACCAGAAAAATGCACTTTATTATATCCACTGAAAATTTCACATTCAGTTTCAAGGAATTCAGGAAACCTTTCCATGGACTCATGCCAAGGAATCCTTTAGTGGGTTAGTCAATGCTCTTACTATTTTTTTCGTAATGGAAAAAGAAGAGCATTAGTTTGGTCAGTAGAAATCATGCAAAACATACTGGTGTTATAATATAAGTGGGTCACAAACCAAGAAGGTTAGTAATGGAAAGCAAGTCTAGGAAAAGGTTTTCCTTTGACTCTAGAATATACATTCAGCCATACTACATGTATGTACTGAGCACCCGTGGTGTGCCAGTCCCTACTCTGGGCCTTTGAGATTCGGCACAGAATGCAGCAAAGTTTCTAATCTTGAGGAGCTCACAATTCTAGGACTTGTTCTTTTGATGGCCTCATCCCAATTCCCTATTTTCATTCATTCACTCCTAACACATCTATTATGTATCAGTGTTAGACTGAGTCCCAGCTCCTGAGGATCCAGCCTGATGGGAGTAGTAAATAGGTAAGAAGATGAAACATAATAGTAAGTAAGAAACGCAAAAGCTAGTTTTAAGCACAGGGTGTTGTCTAATCACCCAAAGGGGTGCACCTGGGAGTTCTGGTGGTGCAGGAGGTATGGCCTTACCTAAGTCTTAAATGACAAATTGCCTTGATGAAGAGAATAAGGGAGGGGGAAAGAATTAGTGTTCCAGAGAAGGAAGGAATATGTGCAGAGGCACAGAGCATAGAACACCAAGAGGACTACCAACAAATTAGCCTCATGAGGAGTATGGAATAAAGTTGAGGTGCTGGAGGGATAAGGCTGGAGAGTAAGACAGAGCCTATTAGGTGCCTGTAGATCAGACTATGGAATTTGAGCTAGTTGATAGGACTCCTGGAGGAATTTTAAGCCTGGAAGTAACCATGGTCATACTGTATTTACTTTTAAAAGTTTTTTTATTATTTTTTTAAGATTTTATATATGTATTTGACAGAGAGAGACACAGCGAGAGAGGGAACACAAGCAGGGGGCGTGGGAGAGGGAGAAGCAGGCTTCCTGCTGAGCAGTGAGCCCGATGTGGGGCTCGATCCCAGGACCCTGGGACCATGACCTGAGCCAAAGGCAGACACTTAATGACTAAGCCACCCAGGCGCCCCCCAAAATTTTTAACTTTATTTTATTATTATTATTTAAAGGTTTTACTTATTTTTTGTCAGAGGGTGAGCGAGCGTACAAGCAGGGGGAGTGTGAGGCAGAGGGAGAAGCACGCTCCCTGCTGAGCATGGAGTCCAGTGTGGGACTCAGTACCAGGACCCTGGTATCAGGACCTGAGCCAAAGGCAGATGCTTAACCAACTGAGCCACCCAGGCATCCCTTTACTATATTTACTTTTTAGTAAGATCGTTTTAGTGTGATTGATGGGGCTATCCGTGGGCAGGTAGTACAGGGAAGTAGTCTGTTGGAATAAACCTGAAGAGAAGTCTCGACCTGAACTAAGGCAGTGGCAGGAGGAATGAAGGGGAGATAAAGATTTGAAGTGGTAAGGGGATAAGATGTGTTTGGTTCAGTTCAGTTTGGGATGCCTGTAAGGCCTCAAAATGGAAATAGTTTAATATATAAATACGGATTTCAGGGGAGGTTTGAGCTGTAAATAGAACTTTGGAAATCATGAGCGCATAGGTGGTGTTTGAGGTCCTAAATGTGAGTGAGATCATCTAGGGAAAATACGGAGGGTTTGGAAATGATGAAGGCCAACAATTAAGGGCGTAGGTAAAGAAAGGAGCTTGCAAAAAAGACTGGGGAGGAATAACCATGAAAGTAGGGAGAAAATCGATTGTGGGTGTGAAGGGAATTGATGGTCCAGAGGCCACATGCAGTAGATGGGACAAATAAACTCAAAACTGAAAGGGCCCATTGACTTAAGTGGATGATCAGCAGATACCTTTATTTTTTATTTATTTTTTGTTTTTTGTGGGGTTTTTTGGTTTGGGTTTTTTTGTTTTTAGAGAGGGGGAGAAAGAGAGGGAGGGAGGGAGGAGGGCAGAGGGAGGGGGGAGAGAGAGAGAAAAAATCTTAAGCAGGCTCCATGCCCAGCATGAAGCCCATTGTGAGGCTTGATCTCACAACCCTGAGATCTTGACCTGAGCCAAAATCAAGAGCTGATGCCTAACCCACTTGAGCCACCCAGGTGCTCCCAGATACCTTTAAAGAGAACAATTTCAGTGGAGTACAGAAGTCAGATGCTGGCATTGAGAAGAGAAGGTGGGAAGAAGTACAACCAGATAAGTGTAGACCATTCTTTTAAGAAGGCCAACTTGACCGATGGAGTGGGGAAGGTAGCTAAAATGAAGCAGTTACGTCCCTATTTACTGAAAACCTTCAGTGGTTTTTTCACTGATCATAATGTAAAATTCAGATTCTTATGTGGCTCACAAGACCACATGGTCTGCCTCCCCATATCCCTTTCTTCCCTCTTTCCACTGGTTCTGTTCCTTGAATTGTATGTGTCCATTCTTCCCTGAGGGTCTTTATAATTGTAGCTCTCTGCCTTAGCACAACTTCTCCCCCTATTTTCCCCATTAAGTACCTCCTACTCATCCCAGAAGTCTCACTTCCTTGGTGGAGGGCCTTCCTGTCCCTCCCCTGCAGGATATGATCCCCTGTTACATACTCCATAGCGTTCCACGACTTCCCCTTTCATAGCATTGTGGTGGATGTAATGCGCAGCAGATTATTTAGGGAACGCAAATTTGCATTAAGCTAAACCGCTATTACTTGAGTAGGGGAAAAGTGCTTAAGTGGGCTCTCTGCTTCATCACGAGATTGGGTGATATTTGTGTTAATTTTTTTTTGTTTGTGGCAGTGTTAACTGGATTAGGAAAAGAAAGGCTTTGCTCTTGGGCAAAAACTAGATATAACTAAAAGTTGGACTTGCTTAGTGGTGTGAGAACTTTTACTTTATACCTTACTGAAATTCTTGCAGGAAAGGAAAAATGAATTGATTATTTTGAGTCTGAAACTCTTTGGCCTCTTACGCATTTTATCCAGTTTTGAACAGTTGCTTTTATAACATAGCTTTTGATAATAGGAGGTTTCTTGGGAATAAATTATGGGGTCGGAGGAGAACAGACTATGAATCTTCGGCACTGTCTCATCAACTTCATTCAGGCAGTTCCAGTGCCTTGTGCAGTGTCAGGCACTTAGTGGGTCATTATTTGTTGAATAATGACTTCTTACCAGAGAAGGGTGACTTGATATGTTTTCACAGGGGAGGAAGGGAGAATTAGCTTAAAGAGAGAGGTTGGAAGTTGAAGAAGTAGCAGGGATTACTGTTGGTGCCAGAAACCTCGAAAAGCAGGTGCTGATGGCAGCAAGAGCACACAGATGGAAGAACTGGCCTTGAAAGGGTACAACTGGCAGAAGTGAGATTACTGGAAAATTCTAATTTGGTTTGACTGACAAACTAATGACATTAATGTAGTCTCAGGTTAACTGCTTTTTGAGAAATGTTCATGATTGCTTTTTTTCCTTTAGTCACTGCTGATTGCTGTCTGAATCAGGCTGGGGTATGAGAAGGGCAGAGAAAGAATGAAGTTTTGTGAGCTTTCAGGGAAGGGAGTAAAACTGTAGGGAAATGGCAAAAAAGCGCCATGAAATAATGTTTCTAGTAAATGGTGGCTCAGAAAGAATTTGGTTGACTAATCAGTTTAGGAACCATGAAACTCTTAACTGGTCATTTTTCTTTATTAGAAATTTGTAGTTCAAATACTGTCAGAGTAAGGACCATTTGTGAGTCAGCTAAGTTTTAGAAGTAGGGTATCAAAAGTCTATTTTTCTAGTATTTATAGTGGGTAGCTATAGGATAAACCAAAGCTTTCTTACTCTAAACAACTTCCTTTGCAGTGTGTACTACACATTGTCCTACAATTGCTTAATCTTAGGGTTTGGGGTTTCACATGGTTGCATGTGCTCTTGCTATACAGACTCCTTGAATTTCCTTAAAAATGGCCTGCTTTCTCACACTTTGGATATACTTTACATAGGTTGGATGTGTTCTATGCCTTCCTTATCTACCTAGGAAACCTCTTCAAGACTAGCCTCTGATCTTCTTAGGCAAAGTTATGTGATTCCTGAACCCTCTATATTCTTTTATTAGACTATGAATCACATCGTTTTATAACTGTCTACTTGTGTGTTTACCTCTTTGAGGGGTGCTTTGTTTTTCTTTGTTTCCCTACCATTTGCCTGTAGTTCTGAGACATTCACTAAACAAAAGCCTACTGCTCCCCTTTTAAAATGTCAGCACCTTGGGGTGCCTGGCTGGCTGGGGGGGAGCATGTGACTATTGATCTCAGGGTTGTGAGTTCAAGCCCCACCTTGGGTGTAGAGATGAAAATCTTAAAAATAAATAAATAACATGTCAGCACCTTGGTTTATTCCAACCCCCTCATTCACACCTGAGGCGATGCCTGTCTGACATGAGGTTGGGACTTAATGTAAGGTTACCACCATATCCAACAGTGACACAGATGGGACCCAAATTTAGTCCTTATGATTCTCATTTCCGTGTTATCCCAATTTGCCAACGTGACTACTTACATTGCTTTCTCCTTAAGATTTACTTGAGATTAATGACACGGAGAGAATCATTTAAATTTTTCATAGCAAGGAGAGAACACAATGTGTTATAATAGGTGGGGTCATTTTGGGATTGGAGGACTTTAAAACGGTATCTGGGATCCATGGATTAGACTGGAAAGTGTTTCCAAGTCCCCTGAAACTGTATGCTAAATTGTGTGTATGTGTGAGTGTATTTGGGTATTTTGTTTCTAGGTGATTCCATAGCTTTTGTTCTCATATGGATCTGACTCCTCAATAGGTGAGGACCACTGCTTTAAGGGAAAGCAGCCTTGGGAATGGTGCCCCAATAGAGAATATATAACTAGAAATTGTAACTCTGTTTTGCCTCTGATGTATGTTCTGTAGTTACTGATACCTGCCTGCAGTTGTGGAAATCCAGACAGTCACGTTTGTCCTCTTGCCTTTCTAGCTTGCGTTTTTCAATTTCTTTTCTTTTCTTTCTTTTTTTTTGAGGAGGGGCAGGGGGAGCAGGAGAGAGAATCTTAAGCAGGCTCCACACCCAGCATGGAGCCTGATGTGGGGCTCCATCTCACAACCCTGAGAGCATGAACTGATCAAGATTCAGATGCTCAACCAACTGAGCCACCCAGACACCCCTCAGTTTCTTGATTTTAACCAGAATCTCCAAGAACTCAAGGAATCTCCCAGATTGCTACTGTGCACATAATCCCTATTCCCAGCTGGAGACCTGTTACAGCTCTTGCAGTCTCCTCTTCTCCTGTCATTCTTCTCCCTGTTGATCACTTAGTGCTCTGTTAAAGTTGATGTTTCTTGGTGGTAAGCTGTTGGGGCTTGTTTATTTTTTTTTTCATTTAAAAGGTTTATATTTATTTTTGTTTGTTTATGAAATAGCATGAGTGGGGAGGAGCAGAGGGAGAGTG